CCATAAAATTGATGGATCATCATATTTACGTTATAAGATGGAAACTTAAAAATCTAAATCAAAATATCGGTATCATAAAGCAAGCAATAGAAAGTAGAGATTTTGGATTCACATAATGTCAAATTCTACTAAATAAGAGGATCTGAATAGAAAGAAAGAACTAGATCGAATTTAAGCATCTCTAGTTTAACATCATAAAGAAGAGTGGTTGCAAAATGATTACATGTATCTCCTTGTTGTTGGATGAAAGATGAGTCGATCTATTCCTCAAATAGTTCATTTTCTTAGCATAGTGGCTATCTTATCTGGTTGATTATGTCCGAATGTTTCGTCTTTTTGGGTAAATGAAAATTATAATAACGACAACTGATATACCTTATAATATCAACAAATCTTGATAAACCATAATGCAATATTCTTTTTTGGTCACTGTTAAAAATAGGGAAAAATACAAATTGCTTTGGTTTCTACAAAAGTATCTACCTAATTCCGCATGGCACATATTTACAACTAATAAAAACAAAATCTGTCTTTATCAAAAAACAAAAATAAAATTCTGTCTTATTTATTAACCATTATCTTTTAGTAATAGATGTAAAAGTTACCCAGTGATTTTTTTTGTTCAAAAACTTGTGAACTTACATACTAATATGGATACAAATCCAAAGCATTCATATCTCATTAAATTATTTAGTCCTTACAATAAAGACACGTCTGAAAAAGGGGTGATATGTCAACTTCAGAACGAATTATCACTTTGTCTCACGTACGAATGTTTAGCTATTTCAGGAATAAAATCACCCAATTTTTTTATCTATTGAGCCAAGTTCAGTGGAACCATTTTAGTAACTCTAATATGGATAACAAATATTAGTAGAACATTGCAAATTTTATTTAAACTCCTGTAACCAAACACTCCCAAAATCTTCCAACTAAATCCAACACATGCGACCGGTATGACTTCCCTAACAAGTCACTTCTTTCTTTTTTCCTCTGTCCTCCTAAAACGGACAAGCAAGC